AAATATCATCACCCTGAGCATTTTGGTTATTCAGAAGAAGTTGTTTAAAGGTTTTTTAATACAATTGACCCCTGTGACCTTGAATATAATTGAAGGTCATTCATTTGAACAAACTTGGTAGCCCTTCACCCAAGCATGCTACTGGCCAAATATCATCTCCCTGGGCATTTTGGTTATTGAGAAGAAGATGTTTAAAGTTTTTGACATATTTGACCCCTGTGACCTTGACAATAGGTGAAGGTCATTTATTTGAACAAACTTTGTAGCCCTTCATCCAAGTTTGCTTCTGGCCAAATATTGACACCCTAGGCCTTTCGGTTATTAAGAAGAAGTCGTTTAAAGTAAAATATTGACGACGGACGGACGACGGACGGACGGACGCCGCGCCACGGCATAAGCTCACTTGGCACTTCGTGCCAGGTGAGCTAAAAAGGCATGCTTTATTCTGTTTATTACTTACTTACTAATAAAAGCTACTTTCTTATGATATATTTTTCTTTTGAAATATTGAAAAACGAATAATTTCCAAAAGGGGTGTGATAAGGGTTTTGTGGGCTGATACAGGTTTTGGGGTGAGATACAGCGGGGGCTGATACGGCGAGGGCTAATGTGGGTAAGAGCAATTGTGTCATATCGTTTATACAAAAAACCTGTATTTATTAGTAAGTATGTAATAAAGATTCATATAAGCCTTTTTTATTGAATATATTTTCCCTTTAGTACTTTATCTTCAAATTTCCTCTATTTTGCAAATTTTAATCCTCATTTATAAATACTTTCAGATTCCAATTTTGATAAGTGTCCCTGTTCCTTCGATCCCTTGAAGAACCAATGGCAGATGTCGTAATATTTTTCCCAAAAAAATCATCATGATTAATGGCACTTTTCCTAGGCAAATTGATTGAAAATTGAAAAATGTAAATCAGAAAATAACGTTTATGTATCTTCTGATAATTTACAAAGTCAATAATCAGTATCAATATTCACCAGTAAGTTATTGCATCTGTACATTAACATTAACATATAATATACGATAATATATTTTCCTCTTTCAGGAAAAGGATTGATCCCCCAAGACCTAAATGAATCCCTGTATGTAGCTATATGTGGTAGGCTACGGTGACACAGAAGTATCGGTACCCACAGTCTATGTAGTCCTGAGCTGTCTGAACTTCTCCATGGGATGCCATGTAATCTACAAGGGACTTCAGAAACTCGTCATGTGACACGGTCTCACTGTCACAAATCACTGCTAGGTGGCGTCGTGCCCTCGTCACTGCTACATTTATTCTTCGTCTCTCCGACAGAAATCCGACTTCACCTGAAATGATCCCACAAAATCATTATTTGGAGAAGTTGAAACATGTTGTGTGGTGACAAAATCCTGAAGTAAGGTTTTTGAAAAGACATTTCAACAACAAGTCTAAGGCTGGTGATCATTTAAGCACATTGTATAAAACCCTATGAAATGAGAAAACAATTAAGATCCTTTTCATCACATGAACTTGGCACCCACCATTATACCATCTTCATTAGTTCTATGTCAGTTTGATCTCTACTCTTCTTTTCTCTCATCTGTTTGAACAGTTTGCCTGTCTGCCATCTTCATCAATCTTTTTATCAACCTCAAAAGTTAACATGCACAACTCAGGACCAAGGGGAACTTACATATAATCAAATTTGAGAAAAATTCCTCCAGTAAATTCTGAGAAATAGCCATAACAAACCTAAACTGTAACAAGATGGCCGACTTTCATTCTTAAATTAAAGATGGCTGTCTATTGGACATCTTTGTTTTCCCTTCTGTCCCAAAATTTAATATGCATAACTAGGAATCATGGGGAACCTTCATGTGACATTTAAGAAAGATCCTTCTCATAAGTTATGGGAAATAGTTAGCACTAACAAACTTAAACTCTCAAATTCAAGAAGGCTGCCTGTCAGCCATTTTGGTTTTTGTGATCAGTCCCAAAAAATGATATGAAAAACTAGAGATCATGGGTAACCTTCATTTGAAATTTGATAAAAATCACTCCAGTAATTTCTGAGAAATAGCGCTAACAAACTTTCATTCTGAAATTCAAGATGGCTGGCTGTAGGCCATCTTGGTTTTGCGATCAGTCCCAAAATATGATAAGCATAACTGGGGATCATGGGGAACCTTAATGTAGGATTTGAGAAAGATTCTGAAAAATAGCACTAACAAACTTTAATTTTCAAATTAAAGATGGCTGCCTGTCGGCCATTTTATTATTGACAATAATAAGTGATCTGGGGGTCGGACCATGACAATAATAAGTGATCTGGGGGTCGGACCCTGGGGTAATTTTTATCATTCTGGGTCATGGGAACGTGTCGAGTCCCTGTGTGACGGACGGAATGACCACTGACCACGGACACAGGGTGATTTGAATAGCCCACCATCAGATGACGGTAGATCAGATGGTGGGCTAAAAAAAATAATTCTGCAGTGTGGAAATGTTCGTGTTTTTTGCAATGAGTAAATAAAATATATAGTATTTCCACACAAATATTCATAAATGTGTATGTGGGAAAAATTTCCAATTTTACAGTATCCCTACTAGAATTCATACTACATTCCAGTACCTCTTCTGTTACTTCGCACTAGCGTGATGATCACTGCTTCTTTCTCACGTCCTTGGAAGCCATCAACAGATTTTATCTCCACATCTGGAAACTTCGGCCAGATTCTGAGACGTAACAGCTCTACCTAGATTTGTATGTGATAAAGATACTAAAATATTAATTTGTTATCTTGTGTCCAGAGGTGGGGTCGACTTCATAACACTGAATTTCTTGATTTCATTTTTTTTTCGGATTTTAAATACAAGAGGCCCAGAGGGCCTGTATCGCTCACCTGGATACCAAAGCAATCATGGCATAATATTCTCCGAATGAGATCAAGGGAATATGCCAGACCCCAAGGCCAATCCTTGTAGCATATCTGTATTAGATTTTTCATGCCCAGCAATTTTATGTATGGTTATGGGGTGGGGATCTCAACTGTTTCCAAGCTTTGACTCAGGAACTAGGTCCCCAGGATTGTGGCCAGACCCCAGGATCAATTCTAATATCGTGACTGCATTTGTCTCTTTTTGCGCAGCATTTGTATATATAGTTTTGGGGTGGGGATCTCAACTGTTTCAAAGTTATGACCCTGGGGTTAAGTCTACAAGGGTGGGGCAGACCCTGGGATCAATTCTAATATCATGACTGCATTTGTCTTTTTATGCACAACAATTGTATATATAGTTTTGGGGTGGGGATCTAAACTATTTCAAAGTTATGACTCAGGGGTTAAGTCTCCAAGGGTGGGGCAGTCCCCAAGGCAATCCTGGAAGCATATGTGCAATCATCCCTTTATACTCAGCAATTGTATATACCGTTATAGGGTGGGGATCTCAACTGTTTCCAAGCTGTGACTAACAAACTAGGTCCCTAGGGGTTTGGTCAGACCCCAGGGTTTATTCTGATATCATGACAGCATTCGTCTTTTTATGCCCAGCATTTGTATATATAGTTTTGGGGTGGGGATCTCAACAGTTTTAAAGTTATGGCCTAGGGACTATGTCTCCAAGGGTGGGGCCAGACCCTATAGCCATCCTGGAAGCAAATGTGCATTCTTCTCTTTATACTCAGCAATTGTATACCATGGTTATATGGTGGGGATCTCAACCATTTCCAAGTAATACACCTTTTTTTGCCCCACCCCTTAGCCCGGGGGGTCAGCTCCACCATTTGTACAATTTTGAATCCCTGCATCCCATACATGCTTCCGACCAAATATGATCAATATCAATGGCATATTTCTACAGAAGTCGTTTATAGCAATATAGCCAAATTGCCCCCTTTTTGGCCGCGCCCTCAGCCCCACCATTTGTACAATTTTGAATCCCCAGTACCTAGGGATGCTTCCAGTCAAATATGTATGATATCCACTTCTTAGTTCCAGAGAAGAAGTTACTTAAAGCAATATAGTCAAATTGACCCCTTTTGGCCCCGCCCCTCAGCCCCCTGGGGGGTCAGCACAACCATTTGTACAATTTTGAATCCCCACAACCTAGGGATGCTTCCAGTCAAATATGGTTGGTATCCATGGCATATATAGTTCTACAGAAGAAGTCGTTTGTAGCAATATAGCCAAATTGCCCCCTTTTGGGCCTGCCCCTCAGACCCCTGGGGGGCCAGCCCAATCATTTGTACAATTTTGAATCTCCACCACCTAGGGATGCTTCCAGTCAAATATGGTTGATATCCACTTCTTAGTTCCAGAGAAGAAGTTTCTTAAAGCAATATTGCCAAATTGACCCCTTTTTTCCCTGCCCCTAAGCCCCCTGGGGGGTCAACCCCATCATTTGTACAATTTTGAATCCCCACCACCTAGGGATGCTTCCAGTCAAATATGGTTGATATCCACTTCTTCCAATCAGTGGTTAAGAAGAAGAAGTCGTTTAAAGAAATTGTTGACGTACGGACGTAAAGACGACGTACGCAACGGTATGGCATAAGCTCACCTTGGTCCTTCGGACCAGGTTAGCTAATAATTTATGTCTTGATTCAAGTTTCTACATTATGTGATCAAACATGCACTCGAAGTTGAATAGATAAACAAATAATGCTTTAAGTTCACCTACCTGTACCTGTAGATTGTTGAGAGCTATGACATACCTGTAAGTTATAGGGAGGTATATGGCCTACCTGTAGGTTTTAGGGATTTATAATTTGACCTGTAGAGTGTAGGGAGCTATGACTTTGACCAGTAGAGTGTAGGGAGCTATGACTTTACCTGAACATTGTTGAGAGCTATGATATACCTGTAGGTTATAGGGAGGTATATGGCCTACCTGTAGGTTGTAAGGATCTAGAACTTGACCTGTAGAGTGTAGGGAGCTATGACTTTACCTGTACATTGTTGAGAGCTATGATATACCTGTAGGTTATTATAGGGAGGTAAATGGCCTACCTGTAGGTTATAGGGATCTATAATTTGACCTGTAGAGTGTAGGGAGCTATGACTTTACCTGTACATTGTTGAGCTATGATATACCTGTAGGTTATTATAGGGAGGTAAATGGCCTACCTGTAGGTTATAGGGAGGTAAATGGCCTACCTGTAGGTTGTAGGGATCTATAACTTGACCTGTAGAGTGTAGGGAGCTATGGCTTTACCTGTACATCGTTGAGAGCTATGATATACCTGTAGGTTATAGGGAGGTAAATGGCCTACCTGTAGGTTGTAGGGATCTACAATTTGACCTATAGAGTGTAGGGAGCTATGTCTTTACCTTGTACATTGTTGAGAGCTATGATATACCTGTAGGTTATAGGGAGGTATATGGCCTACCTGTAGGTTGTAAGGATCTAGAACTTGACCTGTAGAGTGTAGGGAGCTATGACTTTACCTGTACATTGTTGAGTTAGGACTTACCTGTAAATTGTAAGGAGCTATGATTTACCTATAGATTGTTGTGAATTTATGATTTACCTGTAAATTGTAGGGTGCGATGACGGCTATATCCTGTTGTTTAACTCCTATTGTTATCAGCCTCTCTACATGGCTACTGACAATGTCAGCCTCACCTGCATAGAACAAAAGAATATTCATATCACTTGTGTTTACAAATTTTAATAAGGACTTTCATGCAAACAAATTTTATGAATACATGTTCATATATCATAACCAGTGAAAAACGCATTGTGTGATGCTTCGATGACTACCGGGTAGTTCCATATGAACACTTTCATCAGACAAATAACTGGAAATGTGTATGTACACAGGTTATAGAATATGTGCAAGATGACTATGCAACTTAATAAGGCCATAAGTGTAAATGTGAAAATGATTGCACTGTTACTCTTTAAACTGATAACAATGTGGAAATTAGAAATGGTTTTGACATCTATATAATGTAATCATTTTTTGTTTTGTTTTTGCATGTGGATATTTTTGTAAATTTTTCCTAAATGCGAAAAATGTGAGCATTTCCATGCTGTGATATTTTCTCATCTACAGTAGTACAAGGGTATGTACACTCAGTTGTTATAAATGTATGAAATGACAATCAAATTGACAAAACTATGCTGCTATGCTCTGCTATTACACATTTGTGAGAAAAAGAATGATATCCTATTACCATTTACCTTCGTTCCCCTTTGATATTTCCTCAGGTGTGTCCATCTCATTCAGGTCACACCCTGCCGTGTCAATCATCAGTAATGGGAAACTAGCCTCCTCCTCCTCAATGTTCACGCCCTCCATGTCACTACGAGATATGAACATACATAAAAGATAGGAGTTCTATGGAAACAAGCTATGACATCTATGTCAGATTAACTTATCAAGTCTTAAACTTTAATTTTCAAATCAGAACTTTATTCAAACCAAAAAAAAAAAAGCAAAGGATTTGTTTTTTTTGCCTTCAGATTAGGATTTCGAAATCCTGGTACATGCAAATTAAGTTATGAATTTTAATATTTTTAACAAAATACCACATGGAAGATTTGTTTTCACATCTTGTTAACTTGATCAGGACATTTAACAAAACAACAATCTCCCTGTGGTATTTTATCAAAATTAATCAAATTCATAACTAAAGTTGCGAGTACCGGGATTCAAAATAGTCATCTTAAGGAAAGAAACCAAAAAGGTTTTTTTCAATATTTCAATCTAAATAATTCTCGAAAGTTTTGATATAAAAATTGAAGATTTGATTAGCTAATCGGGCTTCAAACAACAGAGGGCCTGAATGATTTTATCGATGCCCCGATTCATCCATAAATTGGTGGGGAAATTAAAACTATTGAATTACCTATTCAACACTAGGTGAATAAATTAAAGGTATTACACAACTAGAAATTAGTGAAATTAGTGAAATTAGGTGAAAATGTTACATGCTATATGATATGGCTTCACAGTTTTGATATTTGATGCCTTGCACTCACCCAAGAAGATGACCAGCCACTGTTGGGTGAGCGGTCAGTTTGCTGTGGTAGAGTTGGTCAGAAGACCACTGCATGATGAGCTGGTGCATGCGGTACTGGGTGGTCAGCATACGAATGACCTTGGTGTGGTAGAGGTCAATTATCCTCTCCATCAAGGTTACTTCCAGTCCATCTTTGGCTGCTCTGTTAGATATATCAATGTTTCCAGTGAAACAGTAAACCTTGGTATTCTGCCACATTTAACTACATTAAAACCTCTGTGTATTGTCACAATTATCTATATTAAAACCTCTGTATTCTGTCACATTCAACTATATTAAAACCTCTGTATACTGTCACATTCAACTATATTAAAACCTCTGTATTGTCACAATTATCTGTATCAAACCTCTGTATACTGTCACAGTTAACTACATTAAAACCTCTGTATACTGTCACATTCAACTATATTAAAACCTCTGTATACTGTCACATTCAACTATATTAAAACCTCTGTATACTGTCATAGTTAATTACATTAAAACCTCTGTATACTGTCACATTTAACTACATTAAAACCTCTGTATACTGTCACAGTTATTTTCACTAAAACCTCTGTATATTGTCACAGTAAACTACATTAAAACCTCTGTAAACTGTCACAGTTTACTACATTAAAACCTCAGTATACCATCATATTTAACTTTCATTTTAACCTGTTTTCTGCTATTTGGTACATTAAACTACAATTTAGAGTGAAGTTGAAGTCTACTGTCACCTTCAACAACAGCAAAACCTTCTTATATTGTCACATTTAACTTTGGCTTTTTAAAGGAAACTGACATTGACTGAAGACCATTTAATCGGTAGAGTTACTCACTCTTGGCTTAGGATAGTGGGAGGTAACTGCAGGTGGTCTCCAGCAAGAACACATCTTGGGGCTCTCATAAGCGGAATCCAACAAGCTACCTCAATTGCCTGTACACAGAGTTGAAGTTCATTAAATTAATTAATTTTTAAACTAAGTTTTATTACAAAACATACAGATCAAATGACCCTACCAGCAGGACAACGATAAGACAGATTTAGTTCAAAGTATCTATTAAAACTACTGGGGCCCTCCAAAAGAGAATCTTATATGTTACTGCCATTTCCTTAAATGGACCTATCTGACATAGAGCAAATTGATTATAAACAATTAAGAGAGGGTAAAGCATCTAACTAGGTAGTGGAGCTGTGAACCGGACAATCAGTCAAATTGTCATTCATTTGAAATTTGTAATATCATTTGAAGTAATGTATAGATAGCACGGCGCACCTGAGAACATTCGTCAATGACTGTCAAATTAAAGTGATTCGCATCTAGAAATTTGATTGGTCCTTCTGGTGAGGCTGATGTCAGCGTTGCTAAGACAACATCTGCTCTTTTCAAGATCTCCTTTGTAGCTGCTTGCTCACGTTGCGCTAATTCTTTCCGAAGGAATTTCATTTCTCCACGCAGTGTGTGCTTCTCTCCTTTATCCCTAGTTTTCTTCATCTGTGACTGTAAATAGCAAAATGTTAAGACACTTTAAATAAAACATAGTTAAAGCCTTACTGATGAAATTACCAAAAATCTTATTGATTTAAACATTGAGGTTGTTGGTTTTTTTTTTAAATTTTCATCTGGGTATAAAAAGTGATTGTGCAGAAAGTCATAAAATCATGTTTTTTAGCATTCCTAGTCCCATAACTCTTGCAAGTATTGACAAATTTCACTCAATATTGAACCCATACGAGGACTCTTTAAAATGAGGCCACACATCGAACTTGGTGAACATCCGAACACAAATACACAAGTATGGTTACCATGTTCTCGTTCAATTGATAGTTTGTTTCTATAGATATCCATGCTTTATTGACAGATGAATTGTTTACTATGGTTACCATCTTAAAAGTTCATTGAATTGCAACTACAACTATCTAGTTAGTGAAAGCATTACAAATGAAATATTAAAAGAATTGTGATATGGTTTCTCTGTGCAAGACTATTGTCGAAATGGTTGCTATGGTTACCGTACCCAGGCCTTATCAATATCCTTGCGTACATCTTCCACTAATTTTGTTTCCTCACTGTTGGCCAAGATGGCATCAAGTGAGTATTTCTGAATATGTGGCAGAACACGTGCAGGATGGCCGAGTCGAACAATTTTCAGTTTGTTTCGGGCAAGTCTCTCCACCAGGTTGTCTACGGCAATGTTTGAAGGGGCACAGGTCAGCACCTGTAAATCATGTCACAAATCTAGGTCAACATATGTATATCATGTCATAAATCTAGGTCAACATGTGTATATCATGTCACAAATCTAGATCAACACCTGTATATCATGTCACACATCTAGGTCAATACCTTTTCATCATGTCACAAATATAGATCAATATTTGTATATCATGTCACAATCTGGGTCAATACCTGTATATCATGTCACAAATCTAGTTCAATACCTGTATATCATGTCACAAATTGGGTCAACACCTGTATATCATGTCATAAACCAAAACATGACTTGACAATTTACTGCATTTCAATTATACTTTGCAAGATATCTCATCAATATTTAATGAAGCACACTGAATCAAGCAATGTAACATTGTGTTAATATTACATTCAGGGTGTGTCCTTAACAATTTTTAAAAGGGGTCCTTTTCATATTAAATGTATTGCTCAAATCAGATTCCTGAGTTATTTTCAATTTCTATGCTTCAAAAGGATATATGGATGGCTTAAACTGAAACCCTAGCTTACACTGTATAGGTCACATGGACATTGCTCTGAAAACAGTAACAGTGACTTTGGCCATTTTAATATTTTCATGAACTTTAATGTAGCACCCAATCTAGCTGCTACTCCATTGCACATAAACTTAAATGTATGATTCACACAATCAAAATATTCTTTCAACACATTATGTGGCCCTTGCAGTATACATTCTTGTATGTCTTATATGGCACTAACAACTGGTCCTAAACCACCTGACTAATACCTCCACATGTGTGCATGCATGACAGTATCTGGAGCGGTATTGGTATTCTGTTCTGCAGTGTGATCGTGCTTCCAATGACATATCCGCCTATAATGACACCTCACTTGAGTGTAACAGTACGGACAGTGTAGCACATGCCCCAGACCATTCATTACTCCATCTGGGATTTTGGACTGTGTGTGCAGGAGAGAAATACTTTCTTTGAAAATTCCATGCTACAATGACTTTGGAGATTGAAGCCGAGCCATCTGTGTGGAAGACAGTGTCTTAACTACTTGGCCATATCTACCCCTTATAAAAGTCCTGACCTCAGCAAATTGATAAGTTTTTATTAGGTATTTACTTCTCATCTTATATGATAAAACAACATATATTCCGTCGACTTTTCATGGACCTTTACACGACCCTTATACCTTCATGTACCTTATTGCCGAGTTTGACAGCCTGAGTGATGGCCTCCACCACTGTAGTTGTTTTCCCTGTACCTGGAGGGCCATGGATCACAGCCACCTCTGGCTGCGACAAGGCAAATCTTACAGCCTCTCTTTGAGAATCATCAAGGTTTTGATTCACAAATGTAATTTCTGAAGAAAAAAAAGTTTCTTTCTTTTTCTAGTCTTCTAGACATTCAGAACTTTCTAGAACTACCACCAGTGAAAGCTAGTGATTAAATTAATACCTCTTTTTGATATTTGTCATGCTTACATAGTGTGTAACCATAAACAACGAATTTTAATTTTCAAGTACTTTTTACCATTAATATACAAGTACAATGTATTAAAACTTTTCAAAATTGTTAATTGTTCAAATATAATGGATTAACAATCTTTTTTTTTCATCCCTGTATCACTGTACAGAATCTCAATTGTACATGTGTATACTATAGATCATATTCAGGTGCTGAGAACTTACCTTTAGTAATATATGGTGGAGTAAGCTCCCTTTCCCCGAACAGAACTCCTACAAGTTGGCTGACTGGACAAGGAGGGAGAGACTGCAGCTCACGGAGGGCTCTGTGGTGAGAGTTACAACTAAGTATTATCTTGTTCTTATTACTATTTGTATGGCACAACCTCACTCAAAATTACCTTCAAGTCTGTAAACATAAAATCTAGTCTTGAAGTCTGCCATCCAAAGAGGAATTAACAAGTAAACTTTGGCAATTGCAGGTAGCAAAGTAAATATGGTGAACAAAGGGCCATAACTCTTCATATATTAGGTGTCAAGTGGGGGGAAAAAAAGAAAAAGAAAAATAACATAAGATATAGTTACTAAAGGCTATTGCAATCTTGAGGACCAAATATGTGTACTTTTCAACTATGACTTTACAATAACACTTATACAGCTACCTAATCACCATGAGCAAAAGTTAAAATAATAATTTCCAAACAGCAATATCTTTGATGTAAATAGTCGCTTACTTTTTCAACCTCTTGTATGTGACATCATTGGCTAGTTTCTGCAGTTTGTAAGGGCCATCATCACTTAGAAGAAAGAGATCCTGGTTGTCATCAAAGGCAATGCAAACAGAGGTCTTACTGGCCCTGGTAACGATTCCGGAACCAATATCCTCAGGCTGCTCACCTGAAGACTGGCTTAACCCAGCAATGTCACCTGTAGAAAGTCAAGGAAACTCCAACTGTCAGCCAAATTGCACTCTTCCTGTTTTGAAAATGGAGATGTTGTCTGGGTCAGACAAACTGAATGTGCATTTAAAAGCACGAAAATCTACTTTTAACAGAGGAATATTGAAAATATGTGTCTCAGTGAAGCCTCTCTCTAGCTGATCTACTATAGTCAACAATATCAAACAATAGTTTTGAAACTAGCTTCTAATTTTTATACATAAAGGGTAAAGCTTAAATAACCAATTACTTTTAAGCAATAAATGCTGAATTATTTCATAACAAGCCATTCTGATTGATATGTCTCGCCTATGCCCCGCTTTGACCATCCATGCACAAATCAGAGTAACTAAAAAACCGTGGGTGTGGCCCACAGAAAAAAAGAAAAAAAAAAACATTGACCGACAGATGACAAGCACCACACCATACCCTGGGTTTTCATTAACTTCTATTCGAACAGGCCAAATGCCATTTTTAACTGGCCAACCTTTGTAAAATTAAAAATACGAGAAACATGATGTACATTGTATATATGAGAAAAGTGGTTGGAACAGGTCAAAATCGGTACTGAACTAGTCCTTTCAGCCTGCTGTCTATTCTTAATGTACACCCTGCATACCCATGCATAAACACACAGATACTTTGTACCAGGTCAGCTGAACAGAAGTACTGTTTAAATTACTATACAGTACCTGGAGTGAATTTGTGGGAAGGCAGCTCCTGTTGATTCCTGCCCATCTCAAAAGTGATGACAATTCTCCCATAAAATCCTGTCCTTCTTCCCACAATGCAAAGTTTCGGGAGGCATATACCTCTCCTCTGTAACTCTTTGATTGGCAATTTTTCTGTCAAACATCTGAAAAGTAAATATCAGTCTGTAAAAAGGGAGAATCTGATTTAGCAACAGGTGTGTCATGTTAAGTTGAGCCATTGAGCTCCATCACTCTACAGTGGGCAATAAAGGAAATCCAACACTACTGAAGATCCCTCTAAGATTTTTCTTATCTAGATCCTTTAGGCAGAAAAGGAAAAGCGCAGACTGGCGATTTGAAATGTGGGCCACAAACCAGATAGATGCTTTGATCAAATGAGCAGTGGTGTACATGTGGGACCTAACTAATTTTTGGAAATAAAATGATTATGACCTACCATAGATCAGTTTTGCATTGATTGGTACTTGTTTGCTGTTCATGTTCTATATTCTTTCAGAATATTCTACCGGACAAGTTTATAAAAAATATGTACATTGCTGCCAAACAAAAATCTCTAATGCAGTGGAGATTTTGAGAAAATTTTAAATATTAGTGTAGCGGAACTGGACTGAGTAGATCACTGGTGACAAGGTAGCTGAATAGGTAAGAGTGTCAGTCTAGAGTTTAGAAGTACATGGTTCAAATCCTATATGGCACTGCAAATTTTTCTCTTGTTACACAACTTACATTTGGGGACTGGGTCATTTTAACCTAAATCCTGTTCGCACTATGGGTCATTTTGCCCTAAATCCAGTTTGACCGTGGTTGTTTCGCCCTAATATAGTTATGTATTTTAAAGTTATGAATATCGGTTGAAATGTTTTTAATTAATGAACCAGAGGAATCTTGGCGCCCACCATTGTACCATCTTCATAAGTTCTTTGTCTGGATATGGACAAAATCCTGTCATTATTACAGAAGAAGAAGAATTTTGAAGAATTGCTAAATTACCCCTATGGGCCCCAATCCTCAGGCCCCAGGGGAGTCACACTCACTGTTTATACAAAATTGAGTCCCTTTTGCCCAAGAATGATCCAGACTAAATAGGAATGAAATCCCTTAACCCCTACGGTAGAAGAAGGATTTTAAAAGTTTTACTCTATTTCCACTAGTGGGCCCCGCCAGCTCCTCTGCCCCAAGGGGGGCCACACTCAACGTTTATACAAAATTGAGTCCCCTAGTCTGAAGGATGCTCAAGACAAAGTAAGGATAAAATCCCTGAATTCCTATGGTAGAAGAAGGATTTTAAAGGTTTTACCTCTATTTCCCCTATTCGGCCACGCCCCTCTGCCGCCAGGAGGGCCACACCCACTGTTTATACAAAATTGAGTCCCCTTGGACTGAGAATGCTGCAGACCAAATTTAGTCAAAATCTACTTGGCCATTCACGAACGGACAAGTAGCGTTTTAAAGGAAAAGTTGACGGACGGACACTGCAGTATGGCATCAGCTCACCAGGTGAGCTAATTTGGTTAAAATTGTCTCTGGGGTTGAGGAGGAGATGTGTTTTAATGCAAAATTTTAGCCAAGTACCCCTTCAGGGCCTCGCCCCCCTGGCCTCAGGGGTCGAACCAACATCACTTACCGGTATTTAAGAAATGATTTCACTACCTTACTGATGCTTCAGATTGAATTTGGTTGAAATCTTCTCTGGCGTTTACGAGTTGCTTTTTAAAGTAAATTTAGCTAAGTTCCCCTTCAGGGCCCCGCCCCCCCTTGCCTCAGGGGTCGAACAAACCCATTTATTTAAGAAATGATTGCCCGTCCCTACTGATGCTTCAGTCCCTTGGTTGAAATCCTCTTTAGCATTTAGGAGGAGATAGGTTTTAAAGAAAAAGTTGATGACATATAATTATGATTATACCCTACATAATTAGACAAGAGGCCCATTGGCCTTAACGGTCACCAGATATATTTATACAGAGAGTTGATTTTGTTTTTAACATGAACAGAAATATTATTCAAAGTGACAAAAAAACAATATCAAAGTACTGAAAGTACTGAAAGCTAAGGCAAAAGATATATTATTATTTTTGGAATGGAGAACAAAATAAAGACGAAGTTCCCATCATATTGTACAGAAGGATTTACTGTTAATTTGTTATGAACCAAAGTTTTATGTAAAAGTGTACCACTGTGAAGTTATTCTTCTTGTGTGTACAATATATCTTTATAGGTTTGTCAGAAGAGTGGTACCAAGTTTCCTCTAGAATATATCATTTTAAACCTTTTGATAATTAATTTGCATAGGAATTAGGAATTGCTTCCCTTTGTCCATACAATGTATTTCATAGAACATTAAAAACTGAAACTGGCATTTACCCCTTTGACCAATACCTGATTATTTTAAACCATTAAATAGATTATGCACAGATTGTGAACATCTTTGAACTTTGCCTTTGTTGTTGAATAAGATATCAACCCTTGCCTTATCTAACAAAGTTACTTGGCATAAAACCATTGACCAATCAGAGTACAGTATGCTAATTAATTAGGCATGGATTTCACTCAACTTTGAACTTATCGTCTAAGTTTGTATATTGATCAATATATATTCAAGCAAGTTATCTTGTAAAGTGTGCACATCGACCAGGGTTGGCATGCTTTTTAATACGTGTGAATTTTGTTCAAGTTTCAATTTTGCATCAGTCAGTGTATATTGTTACAGAACAATATTTATAAGGATGTTTACTTGCCGAAACTAAATTGTGGATAAGCAAGTGGATTACTGCTACCTATAAATTTACAAGTCTCTCAATAATTTTGAAAAACTTTTAAATAAAGTGTTTTACATATTCACTGCAGTGAAAAGGTCTCTTCTTATGAAAAATGGAACTATTTTGAATCTGTGTTCCCATGAACAAATAATATAAAAAGCACTCTAATTCAATATGATACATTGTTGTATGTTTCAATATTGAATAAGATAAACAAAATATAAACATACATACTCACACACACACACAAGATTAGGAGAGTTACATTATTTTCCCTCTATTTCCATTGCATAAATTCTTCACAAAGAAAACAACAACTTTATAGCATATGTTCAGCTTTATCATCTTCATAGGCTAGCATTTGAAATAAGATGCACATATTAATTTCAAATACATTTCAAAAGAGTACTGCAAATGTACCAGCTAGAACACATACTATGTTATTACAGTTGTCATGATTGTTGGTTTCAGAACTGATAGCATTGTGCAACAAATGTTGACAACAGGACTTATTGAAAGTTGAGGTTGCTTGTGTATATGCAAACAGGTAGTGCATGATTTAATGTTGAGAATGATGGATCAAGGTTTATAAAATTTGGTTTGAATACTTAGTTAGGAATGCACTGACAATTTCTCTGTCACATGTACATGAACAGGTTGTGAAGCTGTAGCCTTCACCTTGACTGAATGAAATTGACCTTAAAACTGTCTTGAACAATTGATGTATGAAATTTAGAAATGAAGTTTCAAGAAATATGGTTGAAAACTTAAGAAATAATTGCTTTCATTGACATTGATACAATCTTGTGTGCTATCCCTCTCATATATCACACAAGATTTAATATCAAATGTTGGACACAGTAAAATCGAGCGAAGTTAACAAATATCAAGTTACATATTATAACTTTTATTTTATTTTATTGATATTGATCATAAGCATTGTTAAAAGTACAATGTATACCAGGGATCTTACATTTCTTTTACTACTTAACATTTGCGTTGACTTTTAATTCATTGGACAAAAACTAAAAGGAAGCCATGACCAGTATTTCTATCTTTAAAAACATACTTTTAATTTTTTTTCCAATTTGCTCCCACCACCCATAGTGTTATATTGATCAAAACAAACGTTGTTTCCAACATTTGTGCCCTTAGTCAGTAGTGGGTGTTCAATCACATTCATCAGGGTTTCAGCATCAAGTAGGGGCTGTTCAATCACATTCATCAGGCTTTCAGCATCAATATTCACAGATTCAATCTGTTCCAAGTAAAGATCACTGACTTCTCCATTAAGGAAAAGTTTGCGAGGAAAGCATTTGAACTACATTTGAACTATTCGCTGATGGAAGGATCTGTGGACTCGGCTTTCATGTGTCTGAGAGAAAATGATTTAGTCAGAGGTTCCTCCTCTATAAAGTAACTGACAGATTTCAAAATGTCATGTCACTGTTGGTATAGTTCTTGCAGCCTTTTGAAAAAGTTCATGAAGTCCTCAAAGGTATGAGAGAGTTGGTACAGTTCCTATTTCTCATCCTCCTTTCTCCCATCAATAACCATCCCTGTCTGTTGTAATATTGATTGCTTTCCCCCCCTAAAATAGAACATAGTTACCATATAATTTCTGCACCAGCAATAATGTTTAGAGATGATATTCAAACAAATAGGAGGCATAGCAATATGAGCTTGTATAGTGAGAAATAAGGCATTAAAGCTGAGGAGTTCATTAAAATGTTTCAAAAACATTTCAATAAGTCAATCTCTTTGGTAGCAGAACTAAATATAAACAAAATGTACATTAAATTCAACTTATAACAGCACATCATATGGGGGCTTAAGACATCTAATTCCTTAGGTGGTAAAACATGTGTACATAAAAAGGTACCAGTAAAAACAAAACAAAATTAGTTTAAACACACGCACTTAGATATTCACGGTTTTCATTAATACAAAAGATGAAGCAGAACATCACTCTCCCCTGGTTGTTTCCATAAAGAAGAAATTAACCAGGAAACATGGAGATGTCCATTGCACTCCTTTATTTTGCTTACAATGTGCAAATGTGCCTACTATGTGCTAATAAGCTTTCCATGTTATGGTTTTGTTTTTTATGTGCTGTATGCAAATGTTCTAAATGTGCTTAAATTACCATGTGCTGATGTGCTTACCGTGTTCAATGTGCCTATTAAGTGCTTTCCAAGTGATAAACTCTTTTTCTGAGCTTACAGTATACTACATGTACATACATGTTTTTATTTTATTTTTCCATGTTGTAATATTTTGGTCTCTGTTATTATACTCATGTTTTGTCTTTGTAGCTTATGTTGTATGTTTTGCAAAATGGACGTAAAATATATATTTTTGTATCTTGTACGTGCTCAAGGATTTTA